ATTCCATTGATGTATAAAATTACAAAAGATAGGGAAAGCAAGCCCCAAGAACCAAAGGAGTTACACAAAACTTCTCCAATTGGTCAAAAGTGAATCAAAACTATACGAGTAGAAGAGCAGAGATGATTTACACCATGTGATAGCATGGTTAATGATATTATCGTAAAGCCTATCAAAAGAGATCTCTTTATCACTAAAGAGTTTATGATTCCTCTCCTTCCAAGTGTTCCACAAAAAAGCCCTAATGAAGTGCAGCCAAAGGAGCTCTTTTTCCTTTTTGAAGGGTGGCCAGTGAGAACGAAAGTAAGAAGGTCCTTGATGCAATAGGGTAAGGCCACTTTCCACCAAAAAGACGAAAGAGATACATCCCAAAAATTGGAAACATAAGAGCATAGTGTGGAAGATGTGTGGTTGAGACTCCGCATTGTTTTTACAAAGAGTGCACCAATTTGGGGAGATGGCCATGTGTGCTAATTCACGAATGAAGAACTTGATCTTTTTTGGGTAAGTGTAACCCCAATGGACTGTGCAAGTGGTGTGAGTAGGGAATTCTCCTTGATGTCCATGTCTATAAGGAGAGACTTTGTTGAGAAAAGGCCCTTGCTGTCAGTCTTCCAAACCCATAGATCATCCGCTTGGACCCTTGGTTGAGGTGAATAGAAGCAAGGAGGTGAGATAGCACAGCCCATTCTTCAATCTCTATGTCTTTCAGATGACTACGAAAGCCTAAGTCCCAGTAGCCCTCTTCTGGCATTTCTTAATTCATAGAACTTATTAATTGATGATTAAAATTAAAAAATAAAAATAAAATAAATATCAAAGTAGGAGCGAAAAGAGAAATTAAATATCTCTACTCCTTGAGCCGCCCATTCAGAAATATTTTAGACTATTATGTAAAATTATTCTACCGCTGTATCTTTTGGATATTATTTGTTCTTGTTTGGTTGTTTGTAATTAGTTGCTGATTTCTAGGAGATTGATAGGGCAGTTGATCCTTTCTCCTTTTATTTCATGTCTTTCCAAGTTAGTTCTCTATCGTAAGTTTTATTTAGATCTATCTTGTATACTTTATTATTATTATTTTTTTTATAACTGGGAGTCGGAGCTTTGCTCCCTTATATCCAGGGCACCCACGGCCGGACCTGAGAGACATAAAAGGGCTTTTGGTATTAACCTCACCAGAAGGTTCAAACTTGAAACCTCTAAATCAGTATGACCAAGAGACCCAAAGCCCTTGACAACCTTTGGGGGCTGCCTTGAACAACACCAAGGTATAGTTTTTGCCTGATAGATATAACTTGTATAGTACAAATTAATGAATGTTATATAAAGATAGTATTTAACAGACCTTCAAATAAATATATCCATTGCCTTCTCTTGAGTAATTTATGGAAACAATATGTGGATAGTTAGTTTCCACATCAAAGTGAACAACATCATGAGCCTCATGAAAGAGATTGCCTGGTCAAGAACATTGTCAGATATGATCCATAAGTAATTAATTTTGAAGCATATAAAATCACTAAAGATTTTCATACATAAAATTGGTACCTAGAGAATCATAGTAGCTTATTGGAAGGCTAAGTACGGTGCCAACAGAAAGATTGATCACATGGAAAGGAAATTCCTGCTTTCTCAGTCTAATTTGGGCAACCTGATAACAAATACTCAGACCGAGTTAGACACTTGCTAATGAACAGATGAAGTTCTAAATAATAAATACATCAATCAGGGGAATACCACGTGAAAATAGGGATGAGGTCTCCTAGCACTCAAAACATTTAAGTCTCCGTTAAGTAATTGAGAATGAACTTAAAAGAGAATAAAAATAACACAACTAGGAACCTCGCGAGTTGAGGAAAAATAAAATAAAATAAAAATAAAACAATGGGCCACACAGAATAAGAGTAAAGGGAAAGACTTTCTGTGCTCCTAAATGAATGTCATGTTTTCCAAAATAAATAATTATTTCTAACTTTCGCATAGAGTTCATAATAAATGAATGATTCTATTTGATAGTTAATGGTAACGGAGAGCAACAATTCTCATTATCCATTTTCATTCTCGATTAGTAATGTAGGCTTACAGTTTAGTTGGATAGTAAAACACTGAACAGAAAATATATACCCATGGATGTTTTTAGTGGCTCTCTAATTTTTCAGCCATGACACACAAGGAAATAAAATTTATACCTCTGCCACCCTGACACAAGCAGCAATCTCCATTCTTCCGGAAGAGCGATCCTTTGCCTGAATGCATGCAATATTGTTACTCTCTGAAGTTTTTATTCTATCCCCATGAATAGAGATGGCATCCTTCCACGCATCTTCATCCTTTTCACCACAACATCTTAAAAGGGAATATGTTATTGTTCTTTTTCGACTCTGACTGTCCCAGTGGCCATATGAGTCCATGGATGATGGTAAAGCTTTGGTTGTCGTGTAGTAGGGAGGAAGAATCCAGGTGATTGGAACTCCGAGAGCAAGGGGTAGATTAGGTATAACTGATAAAGATGCTGAAGCATTGAAAAACTTTGTTTCGATATTGGAACCCAAAGTTAATTCACAAAGGAAAGAAACTGCAATATTTGCTATGCCCGCAGATCTGGGGAAAAAAATAGAGAAACCCAGGTAAAGAAAAGCAGGACAGGTGAAAGCAAGATAATGATATATGAATGAAAAGAGGCCATCCTACGCCCAGCAAAATCCTCCCAAAAATGGATCATCACCTCATTTTTCATAGTTCAACTCTGTCTGATATTAATGTCTAAATTGATAAAACCTAATAGCTTAAAATTATCTAAAATGAATGACTAAATTTGTTAAACCACCATTGAACTAAAAAACTTAAGCTAATGGGTTGCAATCTAGGAAGCACAGACACAGACACACGACAGGGACACGTCGACACGTTAATTTCGAAAAAAGTAGGACATGACACATTGGGTACACGTTAAATATATTTTTTTTAAATTAAATATATATATGTATATATATAATTTTTATTTAAATATTAATTAAAAATAATAACGCACATAAACATAAGACCTTTCAATTGAAAAAGGAACTTTTATCCTTCTCAATGTGCCCCCTCCTTCCCATTTAAAAAATGCATGCTTCCTCCTTCCCATTAGAAAGTTGGGTAAGCTTCAACCCATTTCCCCATGGAAAAAAAAAAAACTTTTTATCCTCCCAATGTGTCCCCTCTTATTCCTACCTCTATTCTAGCCCTAAATYTTCTCTCATAAAAAAGAAAACCTAATTTTCATCTGCCAATGTTACACTCTCTTCTTCCCCCCTAATTTTTATCCATTTCCTCCCACCCACCACCTCCTTCTTCTCACCTCCACTCCTCCTTTCTCAATGTTGCGCCTCCTCTTCCTTCTTCTTCTCATCTCCTTCTTCTTCCTTCATTAGATTTTGTGGGTGGCTGTTGAGTTAGGATTGTGCTGTCTTTAGTTTTTCTTTCTTCTTTTTATTTTTTTATTTTTTTGAAGTTATGGGACTTTTTTATTTGGGTCTTTGTTTAATTTTAGGGCGGGTCAGACGTGTACCAAGCGTGTTCTGCACATGTTCAAAATTAAAAAAAAATAAAATTGGGACACGCAAATTGGCGTTTCAGATGCGTGTCCAAAGCGTGCCCGAATGTGTCGGACCGACACTTGTCCGACATGGACACTCTGCCTGAAATGGAGTGTTTGTGCTTCCTAGGTTATAGTAAATTAAATTTACAACACTACCCTCACTTTGGGCTAAGACCCAACAAGTAGTTATCAATATTTTAAGGAAATGATATCACTCCACCTCACACCATGAGAAAGAAACCTTTCAAGCCAAAGATGATTGATGTATTCATTTGAGAAAAACACTCCTGGCTTTTGTGGGGTTGGAAATTTGCATAAGGCTCAACATGTAGTTATCAATATTAATATTGAGGAAGAAATGACATTAGAAGAATTAGGCACAAGACCTCCGACTTAAATATCATGTTAAATCACCACTAAACTCAAAAGTTTAAGTTAATGGATTATGGTAAATTTAATCATTTATCAATACTTCAACACTCACTCTCACTTGTAGGCTTTAAATTTTGCACAATGCCCAACAAGTGGTTATTAATATTAATTGGAAAGAAACTGACATTAAAATTGATAATGCCAAATAGCTTAAATCATTTGATTAGTGCTGGTAGTAACATGAAACCGTTGCTCTATTCCTATTTTATATAGTAACATGAAACCATATAATTCACATTTTGAATCTTTTTCTTTTTCATTTTCAATAAAATATTAAAAATTGGGTCTTCATAATTTGTTTTTTATGATAAGACATGATATATATTAATACAAGAAACAAAATAATAGCCTAAGGGCAGGGGGATGATGCTCAACAAAGCTGGTAGATTAGTATCTTCCAATCTTGAAGGATCAAAGATAAAGTTGTAATTACAAAATAATTTCTTAAGAGGTTGTAAGTTGTACATCATTTCTAAAAGAATCAAAAGTGGATGTTACTCTTGGAAAACTCTTTGATTTCTCTCCTTACAGAATTGGGTCTTCTTAATAAAATTTTTTTTTTTTTTTTTAACTCCTAACCTCCAAGTAATCACAAGCATTTCTTAACGATCAAGCACAACCACCCCAACCAACAGTTTAAATTGACTATTAACCTTAGTCCAAATCAGGGGATGAATAACTGAAAATTGAACACAAATAAGCATAAAACTAAAATATATGCAGTGGCTTCGATCCTCATATTGAATTAAATGTCAAATCAAGAGATGGAAGCAAAAGTATAGTTTTCTTCAGCAATAATTAGTGCATACCTTCCATATACCATATTGATAAAGCCAAGATCCCTCTCGTTTATATAACTCACGAATTGAACATCCTCCAAAGCAGTTGAAGCAGGCCTGTACCCTCTACCATTAAAGCGCTCTGGCAAACTATATCTCAACACCTAAGCAACATATGTCATACTTCTATCCAACAGATACCAATATCTCGTTTTTAATAATTACAGAGGTGGAAACAGTCTCACCTTTTCATCATCAATAGTCCAATTATAGCCTTTGCATAATTGATAAAAGGAAAACACATCACCCTGACAATAGATTAAAAGTCAGTTGATTATCCATAGGTAATCCAATGTAGATTTTTTGCTCCGAGTCTTAATTGTTACCTCTGGAAACAAGGGGTAAATAGGCATCTCGCTCCCAACACCTAGTTGTTCATTTTGTACATTCAACACCACATTGGACGGAATTCCTACTTTTACATTTCCATGTACTTGACATATTACAGAACCTCCATTGCGATAAAAAGTGGCACTGATGTTCTGAAATTATTTTTCAAAAGAAGGAACTAAATTAGGAAACGGCAAGTGCAGACTTCGTGACAAAACACAATACAAACTATCATGTTGGAAAATTAGAAACTTTTTTTACATAATTTCAAGAACAATAGTGGCGACATTGCTAATCAAGTAGTTCAAATAATCAGATAGAATGCTCAGATTTTCTTTGCATGATACTGATATACATGCTCAAAGTTGTATCATTTTGACTAAAAGGATACTGAAATGGATATGACTTAAAGACTTGGTCTAATTATCAATTTGCATCAGTGTTTTCAAGGCGCAAGGCGCACCTCAAGGCGACAAAAAGGCGTTGCCCGAGTGAAGTGAGGCGCACTTAATAAAATAATAAATAGCAATTTTATGTATAAAAAATACTCTAGATGAAGATATTTGTAAAACTATTTAATGTGCATATAAATTTTAACTTAAGAAAAATAAAAAATTTAAATTTAAAAATAAAATAATAAAATAATAAAATTAGAGGTTAAATAAATAGAATACTAAAATAAAATAAAATTTAACTCACAAATTAACTTAAATAAAATAATTTATTGCCATCTTGCCTTTTCTGCCGGATGGCAAGATAGTTGCATCAATTAGTGCCTTGAGAACCTAAAAGAGAATAGGAAAAGACTCCATGAAACATCAAATACCCAACTCTTTTATTCTATTTTTTAATTCTTCTTCTACTTCTTTTCCGATTCTTTTTCTTCTTCGTCTATAACTCTTCTTTTCTTCATTTTCGAGCACAACCAGTTCATAGGTGAGTGAGACTAAATCTTTTGGCTGTGTACAAAGAAGGAGAAGGAAGGAGAGATGGCTTCATAATCGTGCAGTGACTTGGCAAAGG